CACACAAAAAAAACCAAAAAATAAGCTACAAATGTTAGAGATGTTACAGTGAAATGCTAAACCACTAAGTGTGAATTTTTTAACCTAGCTATATTTTTAATAGAAGAAAAATATTATATTCCTTGGTATTGTGACTGGAAATAGAAAATGTATTATATGTTATGATATGATTCTCACATTTGGGAAAGCATTGAAGGGTTTGGAGTGAGGTAATGATTGGATCTTACTAATATTAATCTGGCTGACAAATTGATTGTAGGGAAGAGGTAGGGAGAATACAGAAGACTATTGCAATAATCTAGGCAAGAGATAAGGACTACTTGGATGAGGCAGTAAATCTTGGGTCTTATTTTATAAGCCCCTTTGCCAGTCCTTCCTGAAAGTGGTAAAAAGTGGTTGAATTTTGAAAGTATGGTAAGTCCCATAAATACAAACGAGTTCTGTCCAAGAGTGCATTTGTAAGTCCGATTTGTTTGTAAGCCCAACAAAGTTAGCCTAGGTACCTAACTAACATGATTGACTGCTTTTACACTTGCTTCCTGACATCCTGGGCTTGAAATAGTTACTATTCTACTGTACTCTGTACAGTACTGTAAAGTACACAAAAGCACAGCCACTTATAGATGATACATGCATGGGACAATATACACCAGACATGAGAACCAACTGACATAATTGGACATGAGAACACATGTTTGCATCTTTGAAAGTTCAGAACTTGAAGGTTGTAGGGGACTTATTGTAGAGCCAACAGTATTTTCTGAATGATTGAATATGTGGGGGGGAGGAGGGTAGATAGGAGGAATGAAGGAGAGTAAAGGAATCAAAGAAAAGGAAGGACAGAGACACAGAGATGATTCAAGATTTTTATCTAAACAACTGGAAAAATGAATTTACTGTTTTCTAAAATAGGAGAGAATGGGAGAGAAGCAGCTTCTGGGATAGAAAGAGAGGCATATCAGGAGTTTGGTTTGGACTGTTTTAATGTGTAGACTTTCAAGTGGAGTCTTTGAGTAAAGACTGTTAGACTTCCAAGTAGAGATGGATGTATATCAGACTAGATAAAAATGTGAGAATCATCAATATAGACATGATCATTAAAGCCATGAGTTTGAATGAGAATGCATAAGAAGGATGAGTAGACAGAAGAGGCTTAAGTCTCTGAAGCTCTGGGATATTTCAGAGTTTAGAAGTTAGGAAGATGAGAGTTAGAAAGTGAATACCCAAAGGGCCTGAGGAAATGGAGCCAGTGAAGTAGGACAATCAAGAGTAGTATCCTGGAAATCAAATGAACAAAATTACAAAGAGGGAGAATTCTGATGAAGCAGCTTTTTAAGGTAAATTATGTCAAGTAAGATTGAGATATGACCATAGGTAGGATTTAGCAGTGGGAAGTCCATTGATGACCTTGGCAAAAGTTTAGTCAGAGAAGATTCTATTGCTTAAAACAAACAAAAAAGTTTGAAACCATTCACTTAGAAGATGTCTGAAAGTCTTCTCTAATTTTGTGATTCTAATATAGGCAAACTACCTTCCAGTTATGTAAATTTGGGCATATTATCCTGCACTAGCATATTCAAATATTTGACTCAGTTCTATAAATGCTGATTTTAAGTACTTTAACTGTCAACATTTAATTATCTGATTGCCAAGTAAAATTTTTATAAACAGTTTCACTTAATGTTCCTCCTGTCTTTTGGTAAGTTGTTATTATATAGTAGAAAGGGCATGCACGATTTGTATGAACAAACCAAGACTACACCAATGACTAATTGTGCAATATTGAGCAAGTTATTTAAATTTCTCTAAGTCTCAGTTTCTTCATTTGGAAGATGACAGAGAATAACTTTTTTTTCTTTTTTGAGTTGGAGTCTCACTCTGAAGCTCAGATTGGATGGCAGTGGCATGTTTACAGCCACCACAGCCTTGACTAACTGGATTCAGACATCCTTCCACCTCAGCCTTCCTAGTAGCTGGGACAACAGTCATGCACGACCATGCCCGGTCAATTTTTTGATTTGTTGTACAAATGAGGTCTTGCCAAGTTGCCCAGGCTGGTCTCAAACCCATGAGCTCAGGTAGTCCTCTCACCTCGGCCTCCCAAAGTGCTGGGATTATAGGCATGAGCATTGCACCCAGCGAGAATAACTATTTTATATGGTTGTTTAAAAGATACATGAGATAGTATACATGAAACTCCCTAACCAAATGTTCAGCGAATAGCAAAGTAATATAGTGAATAGGAATCTAGGAAGATCAACCAAATAGACCTAAGTTCAAATCCCAGAGTTTACGTATACTAGATGTGAAAACTTGGACAAGTTTCTTCACCTCTCTTAAACCATAGTCACCTGTAGTAAAACCACCTAACTCGTAGGGTTATCAGTTAAATGAGGTATTGCATTAAAGCTCCTAAGTGTCAAAATGAGTGCTCAAATGGTAGCTATTATTATTTATGCTGATTACAGTTATATTTATTATCCTTTATATCATAATTATTTAAAGAATAAAGCCATAGTCTTAGTTTTTTAGTTCTTAGAATCTTAGTTTCTAATTAGACTTGCTATCAAATATAATTTATAGTATTTGTTTTGATGCATGTTTGTTTTTTGTAATTTCACTATTGTCATCCACTAGTAATGTTAAAAATTGAATATGTTTAGGTAGCAGCTAGATTATCATTTTAAAAGTTATACTTGTCTTCATACGGGACCACCAATGGATAGAGTCAGAAGATACAGCATATATAATAGGATTCTTTCAAAATTACAATATTAATGAACCAGAAATGGCTATATTTTAGGCAATCTGCCTGAAGCTGTAGTTTTAAAGAATATAGCTGGGCTCAGTGGCTCAGCCTGTAATCTCAACACTTTGGGAGGCCGAGGCAAGTGGATTGCTTGAGCCCACGGGTTCAAGACCAGCCCAGGCAACTTAGTGAGACCTCGTCTCTACAATAAATCAAAAATTAGCCGAGAGTGGTAGCATGCACTTGTAGTTCCGGCTACTTGGAAGGCTGAGGCAAAAGGATCACTGGAGCCCAGCAGGTCGATGCTGGGATGGCCGTGAATGTGCCACTGCACTCCAGCCTGGGCAACAGAGTGAGATTCCAACTCAAAAAAAAAAAAAGAATATATCTGACCACACCTATAGATATGGCAGGAGTGCTATGAATTAGAGATGGAAACAAAGGTAATTTGGATCAAGAAATAAAGAGCAGCCTTTACATGAAAATGCTGAAAGAGGATTAATGACAGAAAAAACCTTGGGAATCATTGAATGAAGTTTTTGCTTGTATAGATAAGAGAATACTGAATTTATGAGCAATTTGGTGACTTGTCCAGGGTTAAGGCCAGGAAAGAATAGTTTTCTCACTCCTAGTACAGTACTCTTTCTGTTAAAATACACATGGTTTCAGCCATACTTGTCAGAAATAAAAACAAAGGAAAAATGTTGAATGGACCACTTTTGTGATATACTTATGCATTATCAATGATGTAGAAATAGAGGATATTGATTTATACTATAAGGCGGGGGTCCCTAACCCCCGGTCCATGGGCTGGTACTGGTAATGGTAGGGGCTCTAGGAACTGAGCCACACAGCAGGAGGTGAGCAGCAGGCTAGCACGTGAAGCTTCATGTGTATTTACAGCTGTTCGCTATAGCTCGCATTAGCGCCTGAATTCCACCTTCTGTCAAAGCAGTGATGCCAGCATTAGTTTCTCATAGGAGCAAGAACTCAGTTGTGAACTGCATGTGCGAGGGATCTAGCTTGTGCATGCCTTATGAAAATCTAATTAATGCCTGATGATCTGAGGTGGAGCTGAGGTGGCAGATGCTATCACTGGATAGGAGTTGCAAATACAGATTAACATTAGCAGTGAGGTTTGATTGCATAGAGACCATAATAAATCAATTTCTTGCAGACTCATATCAAAACCCTATCAATGAGGCAAATGAGTTGATGTACTTCAATTGTACAGCTGCATCTGGTGGCAGGCTTTAAGTAGAATCTGACATTTATGTTAAGTTCATGTGTGGCCAAGCCATTTGATTTACCACTTCCATCTGTGCCTATTATTTTAATGGTGAGTTGTATATTTATTTCATTATATATTACAATGTAATAATAGAAGTAGAGTGCACAATATATGTTATGCGCTTGAATCATCCTGAAACCATTCTTTCTCACTGCCCCCCCATCTCCCATCTGTGGAAAAACTGTCTTCCACAGAGCTAGTCCCTAATGCCAGAAAGATTGAAGACTTCTACTATATGGTATTGTTGTTGTTGTTGTTTTCTTTTGTAATTTTTTTAATTGATGGAAAATCTAGACAATGACTTTCATTTAAATAACTTCATAGCAACTAATTTTCATAAGCTAGATTAACAGTAGAAACAACTGTGAGAATCATCTTAGAAGCTGAATATTCTGGATGCAGATCTCCATTAGATTTTCTTTAATCAACTGGCATGAACTATATGTACAATTCTTCCTCGGTATAGAAAAATTATACATTTTTTTCATTAGGATAAGAAACAGTTTCAATAACTAAATTTTGAAAAACATCTAAAAGCTCTGATGGAATATGTACATTTATAAAGCTAACTGCTTATTTTAAAAACTTTGGTAATGTGGAAAGTAGTAATTTGACATTTGGAAATTTTTTACTTACTTTAATGGTTGAAAAATTAGAAAAAGTATTTGCTCTAATTTGTGCCTTATGCTGTTAAGTACATTTTTGTAGTAACTCTGGAAGAATCATTACATTGTGTGTGTGGTAAATAACTAGTTATATTAAGTTTATTTTTAATATTAGATTGCTATTTACAGTTACATTACTATCAACCAGCATTTTTATCTATTTCCATTCAATTAATAATTTTGTTTAAAAGGAGTATAAATAGGAACTTAGTATATTTTTTCATTATTTATCTTTATGACAAAATAATGATGTATTTATCCAAGATTGTAATTTTTTTTTCTTTGCCTTTTATAGAGCTACATTCATGGGAGCAGCCAGGCTCAATTCGTGGCAGAGTCACACATTATTCTGGTACTGAGTATCCTTTAAAATACTGATGAGTTGAAAAGGGCACACAAAACTGAATGTTATTAAATTGATATTTCTCCTGGCAGTAGATACCAGTACTTATAAAAGACATTAAATTTTAGACTGTAGTATATGGCTAATTTTAATTTGTTCTAATTAGTTCTGTTACAGTATAATTTTATTGTTATTCTGAATCACTAACAGACTATACTTTTTTTCTTTTTTGCTGACTGTTGAATTGAAAAGTATTGCTTTTACTGTGCATTGATTATTTCTGGCTAGATTTTTTTTGTGAAGTTTATGTAGTTTTTCCCTATAATAATCTTAATGGAGAGAAAAAATACATCTTATCATATAAATAGCATTTAAACAGAACTATTTTAGTCTGCTTTATCTGAATATATGGTAAGTCAGAAGAGAGAGATTCAGGATAGTTAGACATCTTTTTCTTGATACATACCAGACTGAGTGTTGTAAATCAGATCATGTAGTGGAATTTATGATTTAAAGTAAGAAGGGTAAAGGAGAACATAAGATTAGAGATAAGGTTTAAGCATCTAATCTGAATATTCTAAGAATGAAGTTACTGTTTGAGCAAACAGCTCTGTTTTAGGGGAACATTGATGTTAGTATGAGTCTTGTGAAAATGTTTGAAGGTTAAATTTATACCGTTGCTTGAACATACTGAGTTATGAGAATTTAAAGTATGCTTATGGTATTATTAGTACAATTTGATTACTATCCTGGTTATTAAAATTAATTTTCAAAAGAAGAAATATAGACTTAATTCTTCAGTATTTTATATAACCATAGCTATAAACCTTTCGATATCTTAAAAATTTATCTAGACCAAAACCTCATTTTACATGTAGGAAAACTGGAGCACAGAAAGGTTCATTGACTTACTTTAGGTTAAGGGAAGTAGAATTAGAATTCAGTTTTGGTCTGTTGGTAGTATAGGTACTTAAATTTTGTATACAGTACTTTATTATGACCTGTACTGTATAATTTTATGAATCAATATCAGTTATGCAATCTTGGACTTACACTTTTTAATCTGGATGGAAAAGACTATCTTTTAACAACATTGAAGCTTTTGTGTTTTGTTGCTTTGTTTGTCATAACAGTGCATTTGCCTAATCCACCAGCAAAGAGTTATTTGATACCTTCAGTTTATTCAAGAGATCTATATTTGCCTACTCTGTTCTGGGCATTGCATCAGGTTCTGGTATATACTGAACACTGTAGTATCAAATTATAGTGTACAAAGGGGATGGGAAGAATTTAAATAATTGATAATCTTAAAATGCTCCCAGACTTCCTCGTTTGTAAAATCAGGGTCAGCAGTGATAACCACATGGCATTTCTGTGGAAAGTAAATGAGGTAGCACACAAAAGGCATTTAGTAATTATTAAAGTTTCGTTGGTTTATTCCTCCCGTATTTTCCCATCCTCCTTACTCAAAATTTTGGTGGTCACAGATAGCATACATAAATATATATTTATTGGTTGGTTCTTTAGCATTTGTCAAAGGGGGAGATGACCTGGGAAAACAATCATTGTCTCATGGTATTTATCAGAATTCTAAAACGTACACTGAGGACATACTGAAATGGCTTAATTTTTTTAGAGGAAATTTGTCGAACCCAACCAGTCATGTAATTTACAAGATAATAAATGACACCCTAGAAGGTTTGACCTTGAAAAGGAAGTTGGAAAAAAGAGAGACTGTGTGTGAATCTTCAGTTTAAACTGCAGGAAAACTAAACATTGTCTTTCTAAAGCTCATTGAGCGGCAGTGACCATCTTCTTTCTGTATATTAGTTCTCAACATTTTTATTTCTTCCACCCTTGATTACACATATTTGGATGCATACATATCTTTAGCCCATTTTTTGCCTACATTTATTTATTTACCTGTGTGCCTTATAGTTTCAAAATTAAGAAACTACTATGATGAGTATTTTTTTTGCTCTAGTTTGTGTCATAAACTGGAATTAGGAATTTCTATATTTGAGTTAATGTTCTCAAATTTTATGATCTTGTTCAGTAACTATGAGGTTTATGTACTCCAGTTTCAATATAAGAAATTAATATCTTCTACACATTAGAGTGGCTTTTAGTGAGAAAATGAAATATTTGTACATGTGTTTGTTGGGATACCTCTTCCTTATTAAAAAATAAAGGCAAAGCCATATTTACTCAACTTATTTTTAAATTATTTAAATGTATTTAGGAAGCAAAATACATTTATGTTAAAGCAAATGGTAAGAAAAAAGAATTTGTTGCAGGTAAATTCTTAGTTCATATATGCATATGGTTTCCTTTTTATTTCTCTTTTTTTGTTTTAATTCATGGTGTAACATTTTAGCAGTATACTTTATTCAAAACTACAGGTTTGTTAAAACACATTAGCTGGGCATGGTGGCTCAATCTGTAATCCCAGCACTTTGTGAGGATGCAACAAGAGGATTGCTTGAGCCCAAGAGTTTAAGACTAGCCTGGGCAACATAGCAAGAACTCGTCTATACAGAAAATTGCCAGATGTTGTGGTTTGGGAGGCTAAGCCAAGAGGATTGCTTGAACCCAGGAGGTCAAGGCTGTAGTGAGCCATGAGAGTGCCACTGCTCTCCAGCCTGGGTGACAGATGAGACCTGACTCAAAAAAACAAAACACATCAGATACTTAGCAACAGGATGAAAAGCTGTGTTGGGACTATTATTTTACAGTTTGGCAGGAATTCTCCAAGGTTTTGTTTGATCAGTAATTGACACCAAGCTGAGATTTACATTAAAAAGAAATTTCACAAGCAGTATGAAGTTTTCATATATAATAGACTTTTAGCAGTGATACATAAAAGAATTAAAAGTCATTGTTTTCTAGTCTATCCATAATTATTTGTCACTTCTCTTTTTCTGTGCCTTTTAGAGATCTATTATGAAGAGAAAGAGAAAAATTCTTTCAAAATCGTGGACTTATGAATATTATCAGTGAAAGTTTGAAGGAAGCTATTTTACAATAATTTGATTTCACTTTCACTTGACAGCCTGTTAATTTTTTAACTTACCACAGATTTTTGTAATTTGTATGTGTATTTTTTCCTTTATACAAAAAAAATGTAAATGCCAGATGATTACTTTTTGTTTATCTTTCGAGAACATTTCTGCCTTTTAGTTTTCTCCTCCTAATTTAGTAAGTCAGATAATTAGATGCAGTTGCTGTATACAAAGTTTAGTTGAAAAAAACCTATGAGAAAACAGATGGAGTTGTTTGGTATCATACGTTATAGATTTATATTTACTAAGAATAGAATTTCTCTCCATATTAGTAGTGTTTTATTTTCTTAGTACCTTATTTCAGAAAGAACAGAAACTGTTTTTTTTTCCCAGAAAGGACAGTCCTAAGCAGTCTGTGAGAAAAGTTATATGCAAAAAGAATATGAAATATTGTTATATTTTCTTATGAAATACGTGTTAGCCATCTAAGAATAACTTATGCAATGGTTTATATTTTTGCTAGTAAAAATTAATCTTATTGCATTTCTTTTTCATTCAGTTACATGTTTTAACAACAGATGAAAATATGAGTAAGATATTTCTTGTTAATAAGAAGGTAGAATGACAGAAAAATACAGTGCAGTGAGACAAATGCTATAATCAGTGTCTGCAAAGGAAGCAGCAAGAAAGGAACAATACAACGACTTTCAGTTGCATTTTGAAGTGTAAAAAGAAGTTTCACAGACAGAATGAGTGAAGAAGTATATTCCGGTACAAAGTACAACAGGTATAAATTCATAAAATAAGAGAGAATGCTCTTATTTCAGGGAGATAAGAAATTTATTAAGTCTAGAATACAAATTTTGAGGAGGAAATTGGTGAAAGATTGGTTAGATTGCATAACGAAAACTTTGCTAAGAAATTTGAACCTTATCTGAAGGTAATAGGTGTATGGCAGTTTATGATGCCTATCCCATACATTTGGCCTATTCCTTATTTATGAAGTATTCTAAAGTGGAGCCCTGAATGTCTTCTTGATAAATTTGTCTCTGGAAAGGGAAATTATTTATGTGTACCTCATCCCTGTCTAAGCAACAGAAAGTCAATGGAGGCTTCCTCCAGTAACAATAATGAAGATAAAGTGGAGAAAGGAGATCTAAGAAACCATGAGGCACTGGCAATTGTCCTGGCTATAAAGGATAAACCTAAACTAAGGTAACAGATGAGTAACTCAGTTGCTGTTTAAGAGAAAGAATTGTCAAAACTTGATAGTAGATGTCACGAGCAAGACTCAAGAAAAGGCATCAAAGATGACTCTGAAATTGAGATATGTGTTGGAGGATAACTTACTATTAACAAAATTAAGAAATACAGGAGGAAAATCAGGTTTAGAAATAAATATTTAGCCTAAAAAAATTCCTAAAACTAATAGGCTTCATTTTTGCTTGATAAGAAAGGGCTTAATTTGTTTAAATTCCTTAAGATCATAAAGTCAGTCAGTTGAATAGCCAGGAATTCTTTATTCACTTTTTTCTACTCAGTAATATTTTCCAAATAAACTAAACCTCTGATGAATAGGCCAATAATATTCTCACAAAATTATATAGTAACTGTATATTTGTTATGTATTTCTGAAAGATCTGAAAGATATAATGGATATGTTAATATTTCCTTAGTTATTCCATCATGTCATACAAAACACCACACCTTCTAGTATCACAAAAAAAGTATGTGAGGGATGTATAAATATAAATACACCCATATATATGTTATTTGCAGAGGTATAAAAGTTGCCAAACCTGGCAAGGTCTCTGATTGTGTGGCAATTACAATCTAAATGTAAAGACAGATATATGACAAATAATTGTGCAGATAATTATTCAGATACAACTATGTTCTTGAAACTTTCAAATGTCTACAATTCTGTATTACTCAGGCTTGAGGCATATGAATCTTAACTGTAATATTATTAAAGTGCAAATATATGGTTTTAAAAATGATAATTGCTAGAATT